CATTTCAGTTATATTTCGCATGATTGTTAGGCTTACCTAGTCTTAGAGACTAGGTGCCATTACGAAATCCTACAAAGAAAAAATTGGGGTTGTGACATTCATACTTGACATTCTTCTACAAAGAATCCATCTCTTCTCGCATGTCTTTCATCCACTGGACTTATTCTAGATAAGATAACACTTTCTTGAAGCTCTCTGGCTCCCCCTTATTAGTGACGAGGATATACTCTGAAGAAGGATACCACAGATTGTACCTTCTCTCTTTTAGATCTTCTCAAAAGTTGTTGCTATTCTTCTTATTGTTGTTACTCTGTTTCTTCTTCCTCTTATGGACTTGAGTGATCCCCCTGCTCAGCAACCTCTTCATCTACACCTCATATGTGTCATTCTTTACCTCTAGAAGGATTACGTACAAGTATAGTAAGAGCGATAATAAAGTTAGCGACTGTACCATTATTATTTTTGGTCTTTGTTTATTGATCAACATCAATCCCGGCCACATTTTCTTTGTAGATCACATCTCTACTTTTGATGATCTTCTTCCTTTCTGCCCACAATTTGTAACCAAACTCATCATCTTCATAACCGATGAAGATGAAGGGAATAACTTGTCATCTAGCTTTGTTCTCTGCTCCTTCGGCACATATGCAAAAGTTTTATATCCTAACACTTTCAGATGGGAGTAGGACACCTCTTGTTAGTCTAGACATTCTCTGGAATTTGAAACTCCAATGGAACTAATGGACATCTGTTAATCATGTAAAAATTGTGCAAGCTGCCTCATCCCAAAGTGACTTGCGTAGTTTTTCCATCTTAAGCATACTTCTCACTTTTTCGACAATGGTGCAATTCATCCTTTCAGCTACACCATTTTGTTGTGAGGTTCCAGGAACTGCATTCTCATGTTTGATTCTATGGATTTAACAGTAGTCTTTAAACTCCTTTGAAGTATCTCCTCCAATGTCTGTCCTGAGACGCTTCAATTTTTACTTGTTTTCTTTCCACTAGAGCAAGGAATTTCTAAAAAAAAACTTAACATATCTGGTTTTTTATTCTCAAGAAATAAAGCCACAATTTTCGTGTAACGTCATCAATAAATGTGAAAAATATTTCTTACCTCCAATTGATTCAACATCCATTGGACTACAAACATTAGAATATACTAAATCAAGTATATTCAATTTTCCTTTATGAGTTGCTTGAAACGATACCCTATATTGTTTTCCAAATAAATAATAATAACATGGATTCACAGTTGTACCCTATTGCGAAGGAGATAAGTAATTGGTTTACTAAAATTTGCAATCCCTTCTGACTCATATAGCATGATCTCCGGTACCATAAATCAGTAGGCATGTCATTTACAGCCACATGTAATCCAACTTTACATATCTCAGCAGTTGTCTTGTACAACTTGTATGGAGCAACTTATTTAGCAATCGCCAATGATCCTTTGGTGAGCCTATACTTCTTATTGGTGAAGTGATTCTCGTACCCATCTCGATCTAGAGCGATCCCTGAAATAAAATTTTATTTGTAGATCCGATACATATCGCACATCTTTTAGAACTAATGTGTATCCGACATTTATCTTGATACAAATTCCCATAATCTTTGAGTAGCTGGTATTTCTCATCTTGACCATCCCAAATTTTCCTTCTTTGTACCTATAGAAGAATTCTCTTACTGATGTGGTATGGTATGGTATGATATTGTTGTGTCAACCATCCATTCTGAATCTTGGCTTGCTAAGTGCATGCATTCCTCCTCCCTGTGAACAAAGAGAACCACTGAATCATCATTATACACTGCACCAGTTGTGTTGTCATAATTCTTCTGGCCACTACTCTCACCTCAACCTTTCTTTAGGCAATCTCTTTTGAAGTGACCGGGTTGACCACAACTGTAGTAATTTCTACCTTTTGACCAATTCCTGGACTATTCATGACCTTTGGACTTATCACGGCTACTCGGAACTCTATAAAGACTTATTGCTCTGTTTTCCATGATAAGAGCTTGTCCCTAGTTTTCCGGCTTCTTTCTCATCTTATCACATAGTAGGATGGATGATGTGACCTCCTTTAACTCGATGGTATCTCTACCATGTAGGATGGTTGTTACCAAGTTAACATAGGAAGATAACAACTTGTTTCGAAGCAAGATAGCCCTATCTACTTCAGTGATTGTTTCTCCGAGGTTTGCCAGTTACTTGACTAATCCATTAAACATATTTAAATGGGAGATGAAATTTGTATCTTCACTCATATGAATGGAATAAAGTTGTTTTCTCAAAAACAACTCATTTGTTAAGGATTTGGATATGTATAGACTTTTTAATCTTTTTCAAATATCATATGCACTATTTTTTGTCGCTAATGTTATGGAGAACTTTATCGAACAAGTACAATCAGATTGTACTAGCCGCCTGCTTATCCATAGTTGCCCTATCCTTAGCTTTCATGGTTTTAGATTTTGTCTCTTTACCATCTATTGCTCTGATACCACAATACAAGAACAAAGTAAGAGACTCCAAAGAAAGCAAATACCACAGTACAAGAACAAAGTAAGAGACTCTAAAGAATGCAAACTTAATTATAGATACGAAAGTTTCCCTACAAAAGGGATAGCTTCAACAACCCTTGAGGGATGGCTTGCCAAGCTACACAAATTGTTAATTTACTTATAGTAGCAAAAGTTTTCCCACAAAGGGGCTGGCTTCACAACACTTTAGGGATGGCTTGCCAAGCTACACAACTCAGAAAACTTTTGTACTATAACCAACTTTAGTTGTTGGTATTAGAGACTAGGCTCAACATCGGACAAGGGAACACATCTCTATTACCACCATTTATAACCATGGTGAATCATGGGGACTGCATTGCGGTCCTTGAAGAGACGATTAACATATTACAACTCATCACGAATATGGTGCCTGATCTAAGAACCATCTTAGTGCAAAGGTTGGACGACCTGGACCATAGGATGCGGCAGGCTGAAGGTGACATCATGAACATCAATCGCGACTTTGAAGAAGACCGGCAAACTGCAGCCACAAAGGCAGCCAAAATTTTCAGCAAATGCAAGGGGCTCCAACAGGAACGGACCGAGGATTTAGCCTATAGGGCACAAGGGGCAAACAGGGTGACTGCCATGCAGCAAACTATAGACAAATTAATAGGCCAACTTATTGTTGTCAACGCTGCACTACAAGAACTACCTTGAGGAGGCGTAAACTAGATCGGAGGTGTTGTAAACCTCGCCATGTGCCACAAAACCTAAAGATTCCTTATCCAAAACCATATAATGGGGCTTGAAATGCCAAAGAATTAGAGAACTTCATCTTCGACAGCGAACAGTACCTCGATGTCGTGGGGGAGTTAGAAGAAGTAAAAAAGGTAGCAAATGCTGCTATGTATCTGCAGGGTAATGCTAAACTCTGGTAGTGGGTGAAATACAAAGCCATCATGGCTGGTGAAGATACTCTCGAGAAATGGCCAGACCTGAAGGAAGCCATACGCTTACAGTTCTTCTCCAAAAATGTTAAGTACAATGTGCAGAGAAGGCTACGGGAGCTCCGCTAGACCAAGTCAGTGCGGGATTATGTGCGGGAATCTCCGTGCTTATGTTGAACATATAGGATATGGGGGCAAAGACAAACTCTTCACATTCCTGGAAGTTTTGAAACCTTATGCACGCATGGAGCTGCAAAGACAAAGGGTAGATACTTTACCTAAGGCGATCCAAGCAGTGGAATGCCTTGGGGACTATCAAGTGGAAGCTCGGAAGAATAGGTCTCAACCGCCTATCTGAGGAGGATACAAAAGGGGCCAGCCTACCAATTGGGGCCTTAGCATAAGTGGAGGAGATCGGAGCGCAACCAAATCTAAGACTTCTTCCTGAGGCAGCAATAGTGATGCGTCTCACAACAACGATCGGGGGAGGAATCCCCCTTCAGTATGCCATCATTGCGGTTGGCCACATTGGAATAATGAATTCCCATCAAACTTTTGATGATGGGATGGATGATGACACAGATGATGTTGACCAGACAGAACCAATAGGTGTCTTCAACATACTTGTTTGTTTTATTTCTAAGGCCTTAGTAGGAACCAGTGCCGGCATCCGTAAGAAGAAGAACCCATGTCGAACCACCAAGAAAGGAAATAAGAAGGTGGATAAGGGGCCTCCTCGTAACCAAGAGAAGATCCTGATGTTCGTCGAGAGGAAAGTTAATGGTAAGCCTATTAGGGCAATGATAGATACAGGCACTACTCATAACTACTTAGCCTCTATTCAGTAAGAACGCCTTGGACTAGTCATAGGAAAGGGCAGAGGTCGTGTCAAGGCTATCAACTCACCACCCAAGACAGTGGGTGGAATAGTAGTATTAGTGAAGCGTGGTCCTTATGAAGGAAAATTTAACTTGCACGTGGTGACCATAGATGACTTCGAGCTGATAGTTGGACTGGAATTCATGAGTCAAACAAACACTATTCCGGTACCTTATGCCAATATGCTACTGATGATGGGAGTCAATGGGGATAAGCCCTGCATCATCCCCTGCACAACCATAAAGATGGCCGCGGAAAACATCTCAGGTTTGCATTAGAAGAAGGGAGTCAAAAGCATACCTACATTCCCGGATACCCTATGTATTGAAGATATTGAATGCTCTTTAGGTCCCATTCTTACACCCATGAAGGAGCTGCTAAAGGAGTTTGAAGACATCATGCCACAGGATATGCCAAAGCGACTCCAGCCTAGGCGCACGGTGGACCATGCGATAGAGTTAGTGTCGGGTGCGAAGCCACCTGCCCAGGTGCCTTACATAATGTCACAACATGAACTCGCCGAGCTTTGGAGACAGTTAACGGAAATGCTAGACACGGGGATCATTGTGCCCTTCAAGTCCCATTATGGGTCCCCTATGTTGTTCCAAAAGAAACAGGATGGCACCCTATGACTCTGTGTTATTATCGGGCCTTAAATAAAATAACCCTATGACACTGGATGGTGCTACAGTGTTCACCAAAATATACATGAAGGCAGGTTACGGGCAAGTCTGGATTGCTGAGGGAGACGAACACAAGACGTTTGGTGTGAGAAGATATGGGTCGTACGACTTCCTATTCATGTCATTCAGCTTGACTAATGCTCCAACAACATTTTGCACCGTGATGAACCAAGTCTTTCGGGAGTACATTGATGAATTTGTAGTGGTCTACTTGGACGACATTTTGGTATATAGCAAAACATTGGCGGAACACCTGGAGCACTTGCGGAAGGTCCTAGCTCGATTTCGGGAGAACGAATTATATGTGAAGCTATCCAAGTGCTCCTTCGCCCAAAAATAGATTGACTTCCTCGGACATGTCATTGAGGAAGGGCGAATCAAGATGGACCAACAGAAAATTCAGGTTGTCATAGATTGGCCGCCGCCTAAGGATATCCACGCTTTGAGGGCTTTCCTTGGCCTATGCAACTTCCATCGGCCGTTTGTGAAAAATTACTCCCCCGTTGTAGTGTCATTGATAGAACTCCTAAAGAAAGTCACGCCTTGGGTTTGGGGTCCCAAGCGAGCGGAGGCCTTCAACGTATTAAAAAGCGGCTTTGTCTAGTAGCTCCATCTTGGCCCTTCCTGATGGCCAAGCCATTCGAAGTACTGACGGATGCCTCTGACTATGCTCTGGGCGGAGTCTTTCTACAAGAGGGGCATCCAGTTGCGTATAAGAGCCGGAAGTTGAATGATGAAGAATGGCGCTATGCAACCCACGAAAAAGAATTATTGGTTGATGTTCATTGCCTACGCCTTTGGAGGCACTATCTGCTGGGAACCCTGTTCGTGGTCAAGACGGACAACATGACTGTTAGTCATTTCATGACCCAGCCAAAGTTGAATGGCTGACAGGCCATGTGGCAAGAACTCCTAATGAAATTACACTTTAACCTGGAGTACCGAAGTGGAAAAACCAACCAAGTTGCTGATGTGCTTAGTCGTAGAGCTGACCTAGCATCGGTGTGCATACTCGCCACCCTAAGGGAGAGCGAAGTGGCCACCACTATAAAATATTAGATACAAGATCTACTCACCAAGGATCCTACTGTACAGTATTTGGTCGATTTGGTAGGACAGGGCAAGACTCGCCAGTTCTACATGGAAGATGGGTTTCTGAAGGTAAAAGGGAACCAATTTTATGTTCCTACAGGAGGAGATTTCTGAAGGACTCTTCTGACGGAATGCCATGATACTTTGAGGGTCGTCCACCCAGGTGAAGAACGCACCATGGTGTTGTTGCACCGTGCTTATTATTGGACTCAAATGGCTGATGACGTTGCTCAATATATGAAGACTTGCTTGGTATTCCAGAAAGATAAGGCAGACCTCTTGACAAAAGCGGGACTTTTGGACCCATTGTCTATTCCAAAGACCTTGGTAAAGCCTGTCACTGGATTTCACTACTGGATTGCCCAAAGTTAGAGATCTTAAAACTATCTTTGTTGTGGTAGATCGGTTTTTCAAATATGCAACATTTATAGTAGCCCAAAATATATATCAGTAGAAGATACAACTCAACTCTTCTTCTCTCATGTTATCAAATATTGGGGCTTGCCGAAAGACATCGTTAGTGATCGTGACTCTCGCTTCACTAGCAACTTTTGGACTCAGCTCTTCAAGTGCCTCGGGTCCAAGTGAGCTACATTTCAAGTTTCCATCTGCAACCTGTTGGCCAGACAGAGCGGTTCAATGGCATGCTGGAGGAATATCTCCGTCATTTGGTTACCAGATCACAGAAGAATTGGGTGAAGCTTCTGGATGCTGCTCAACTGCGTTTCAATTCACAAAAGAGCTCTAGTACAAATAGAAGCGCTTTTGAAATTGTTACCGGACAACCGCTACTCCCACACAATGTGAATGCCCCAAACATATCGAAATCTCCTTGAGCTGCTAGCTTCTCGAAGAAATGGAAACGAAATTTGGAGATAATGCGGAGCTATCTTGTCAAAGCCCAAAAGCAGATGAAAAAGCATGCTGATCAAAATCGTCGCTTTGTTGAATATCAAGTAGGAGACAAAGCGATGGTGAAAATCCCAAAGCGATACTTGCTTAAAGGGTTCCATGACCCTCGCCTATTGCAAAAGTACATTGGACCCTTGTACATTGAGAAGCGCATTGGGAAAGTTGCATACCGGGTGGATACCCCAGTCTGGTAGAAGATTCATCTAGTCTTCAATATCAGCCTTTTGAAACCTTTTCGGGAAGACATAAAGGATCCTTCGCAGAGCCAACTCACAATACCCCGTATTTGAGGCCCTAATTCAATTGAAAAAAGGCGGGTAAAAGTTATTCTCGATGATCGAGTTATTCATGCTTCAAGGAAAGATCACCAAGAGTTCTTGGTGAAATGGCAGGGCTGTGATCTAGAGGAGAATACTTGGGAGAGGGAACATACCGTAAATCCTACAAGAGCCTGATCGAAGATTATCTTGCAAGTAAGGTGCCAAGGAACTCAGGTGGGGGAGAATGTCATGGGCGGCTTTGCCATGCCCATGACCCCTTGGACGCGCCCCATGACATCCTGGCAAGCCTCCCAACGCCTAGCGCCATGGACAGCCCCGTGGTCTTCGCCGCGCCAAGTGACAAACGCTTGTGCCTATGTCGCCCTACCGATAGCCCTCGCCAGCACCCAGCCGCAGGCAGATGCCAACAGCGCCGCGCGCACAGACGTTAATGTTAAAGACAAGGTTGTTGTCATTGTAAATATAGAGTACTTCATGTATTTCTATTATGTCTCTTTAGCTTAGTTAAGTCAAGTCTTGTGACTTTGGTTTATTTTTTTTAAGCATTATTAAAGGGGATCAAGCAAGCAAACAATTCTCTGTAATGGTGTCTCTCCCCTTCGACACCGTGTTACCTTTCTGTAATAGCTTTCATTAATGCAATCAAGTTTTCTCTCATTCTTATTCTCTTTTTCGTTCTCTCAATTGCATATGGAGGGGACCCCATTGGCGAATAGTAACTGCACGGACATCGATTACTTAGTCTTACGTCGTCCTTCCAAGGAATCTGAGGAAGGCGCCGCGTAACAAGAAGTTTGTCTGTCTTTCACATTCATGGGTTGGACCCACACTTATGGATTACACAAGGTATGTTGTTGTTATATACTCTCCAATTATACATTATTTTTCCTTTTCAATTGCGCTTTCATTAATTTACCCGTTTATCCTCAATGAAAGGTGGAAAAGACTCTTACACCTTGGAGTTTTCAGATAATGTTACCTAGGACGTGGCATAACCAAAACCTCTGGACACCCCCTCATTGATTTTCTTTTTCTTTTATGCATGAGGAAATTAGTTCATTCGGGTCACTTCATTCTCTCTCCGTATAATTTCTAGGAACTAAAACACTAAAAAGAAACAAAAGATGCAGGCTGTTATGAATTTCTTCATGAGGCTAGCTTTCTTTCTGATCCTCGTTTCTAAATTGAGCAATGGGTATTCGACAAACCACTTGCAGCCACAGAAGTTGGGTTTCTATCCTCCAACCTGTAACCGAATTGAGTGCCCAAATTATGACTTAATTCAATCTGGAAAAGACTATGAAATTCGTCTTTATAATTCATCCATGTGGATGTCTACTGCACCCATTGATGATATTAACCTTTATTCCGCCACCAGAACTGGTTTCCTCAGGTTAATATTATATTCCCTCTTTCTCCCACTAGTTCCCTTTTACATCAGTTATCTGTATCTATTGTTTTTTTTTTTTCAATTCCTTTCTATTTGTTGCATATTTGATAAGTTAGCTACACTGTGCAACACCAACTAAAGCATGTGTGTTTGCTTTCCAAGATTCCTCAAAAAAAAAAAAAAAAAAAAAAAAAAAAAAAAAAAAAAAAAAAAAAAAAAAAAAAAAAAAAAAAAAAAAAAACAAGGGACTTAATTAAAGGTTTACTTACATCTCAATCAATTGAAAATAATCGACTATTAAAAGGAAAAAAAAAATTATGTCTTGCCAGGTTACATTGAAGCAGGTTGCTGCCAGTTACCAATTTACAATTATATTGCTAGTTATCTGTAACTGATTTGATTTATATGTACTGAAAATGCATAGTATTTAATCTAGATTGTTAAAGCAAATACCTGCCTTATTTTACAAGTTACTAATCTCCCTTTTTACGGTTAGTTATCGTGTTATTATTGAGTTGACTTGATAGTGTAAAAGTGATCTTTTCCACTGTCAGTATTTAGAAGTTATTTTATGTGAACTTAATCTTTATACTTAAGATGTTAGCCTATCCATTTGCAAAACATAAAAAACAGTTGTTGTAAACTTTGCCTTGGCAGGCTATTCGATTACATTCAAGGGAAGAACAGTTACCAGGAGAAAATAGAGATGACAGCTCCAGTTATCACTCAAGTAAAACCAAGTGATGGACCATTTTGTGCATCTTCATTTGTTGTGAGCTTCTACGTACCAAAGAAGAACCAACCAAATCCTCCTCCAGCTAAAGGCCTTCACGTCCAAATATGGAGCAATACTTATGTCGCCGTCAGGCAATTCGGCGGATTTGTAGCTGATGTTGATGTTGCAAAAGAAGCTGCTGCTTTGAGTGCTAGTATTGCTGACACTAAATGGGCAGCAGCCGTTGAAAAAAGCCATGCTGCAGATAACACTACGATGTATACAGTGGCGGGATACAACTCTCCTTTTGAGTTCAAGGACAGAGTTAATGAGATTTGGTTTACATTTGATTTGGACAAAGCATCTGCCATTTGATTCTGGACTCTTTAACATTTCAGGAGACATGAAACTATCTTATTTTCTTGGTTTGTATTACTATTAAACAACAGTTTTGTATGACCACAATGCTACATTATATAGATAGAAAATAAGATAGGTTGTACAATACAATTTGATTCTGAGGATTTAGTGGTTAAGATACCTCTTTCAAGACCTTTCAAAATAATCCAATATATATGGAAAAGGGCTTAGACCATATTGAGTTTATTGTATGCAGTTTTACCTTGCATTTCAGTAAGATGTTTCCCATAACCTCCTGGTCACATATCAACTACTCTTGACCACTTCATTGCAAAAAAACAAAAGAACTTGTTATTCTTTTTGGTTTCGGGGAGGGGGAGGCTGCAACTATGCAGATTATTTATCGCACAAGCGTGTTAAGAACTTGGATACTGCAAGCATATTTACAACTAAGAACTAAGAGCAATGACTACATGTTTTCTTGAACTGACAAATGATTGATGTGCTCCATTCAATAAAATATTGATTGGCAAAATAGAAGCACAACTTGTACCTAGCTAATTCGACATATAATGACTTGGAATTCCAAGAAATTAAACATTAGATGGATAGTAAGTTTGATGAGGTCCAAATCTAGGCTCACTACCATATTTTACATTTACACCAGTACTACTATCACTATGAAAACCTTCAGAAGGAGGAAGAGTGATCTGTCTTGGAACTCTAGCCCCGTGCACTCGATCAAGGCGTCCGGCAGCCACACTTGAATCCAAAACAGAACCCTTCCTTTCTGAAAAGAATCTGGTATGTGGTTTGCTACTCGAAAACATACTACACGCGACAGTTCTGTTAGAGGAACGATCTGATGCGCATAAGCTGTTGATGATTGAAGAGAATGGATCAGTAGCGCTTGCATCCGCATAATCAACAGTGCTAAAAGAGTCTCTGGTACTCTCAGTTGTAAATGATGCTTCATCTGAGCTTGTAAAGAGGGACCAGTCACTTGATGTAGCATCTGAAAACTCTGTGGTCATTGACTCCGTGTAAGTTCCCACAACCGGTGGTCTATTTCTATTGGCATTCCTTACGATTCCACCGGAGGTGCAATCAATGATGTTGCCGTTCAGTTCCGGCCTGTGATTCGTATAAGGATCCACACCAACAAAATGATGCTCTGCTTTAATCTGCTCTGGCCTAGAAATCTTTGTTGATTTTGGTGGGCAGTGCTTTAAAATCCCAGGAGCTTGTCTTCGGCTAATCCTTCTAGCTGGCCGTGGATATGATCTACAAAATTTTATACTATTTCAATAAAGGGATCTTTACCTCAGAAAGATTGTGTGGAAGCTAAATAAGATATAATGACAACAAAAACCAGCATCCAATGACAAATATGAATTGGCCAAATTGATCTCCAGAGTTAATTCCTACAGTGCCTTTCTAACGTCAAAGCTCTGCAGTGCTTTACCTCTTATAAAATAAGATATATGCTCCTTCCGACATCACCTGGCTCATGGATACAGGCTGGACCTGGTATCAGGATATGCAACTTGTGAGAAAAGTATGACAAGATACTAAAGTAAAGACAAGTAACAAGAACAAAAAGTCATAAAATCCACCATTTACACAGTTACCTACTAGCATTAATTCCTTAACAAGAAAATGGAATAAAAAGACATCAGCAAGCACAATTGAAACTTTAACATTCATCATTACTAGCATGGTTACCCAAAGTGCACAGTCAATCACCAAACTACTGTATATGGACTAAAATTCAGCTTTTCCATTATTGCAGGTAAAGCAGAGTGTCAAGAAACTAGAAAGGCAACTGGTGTATCGTGCATTACAAACAGGTCAACCAGAAGACCAAATAATCTGATAGCATGGATGTCCTCATCACAACACAGGTTATTCAAGAATAAACAAGGAGATATCTACTATTCCTCAAAAAACACTTAAATGCCTCTTTCTCCAATACCTTTTTGATAAGTAAAAACGATTTTTGATCTGAGATGTCTGAAATAGTGGTGCCTCTTGCTTTAATACCTATATTTCTCATGGCATGGCTGGCCAAGAAACATACAACTAACCATTGGAAATTCGATTATCGTTAACCATTGGGTCTGAATGACATGACCCATATGAAGGAAAAAGAAACACTTTCAAAGAGAGGAAAAAATATCATCAATCACATCCTGACTCCAATTAATGTGGACGCGCACAAGTTCCTCAGATATTTATTCGTATTCCATGCTAGCAACCTCCTACCAGTTCAATGAGACAGAATTTGCAGGCTTGCAAGATTAGTTTTGGAACGACAAAACTCTATTTTCCTCGCTATATTTCCCATCTCTTGCAACCAAGGAAAACAAAACATGGAAAACTAGTTCAAGTAAAAGAAAATGTGGAAACATGAAAAAGCAAAAGATTTCCAATTTTTTCCCACATAAACATTTCTTCTTTAATGATTGAAGAGTGAGATTAAATGGTTAACCATGTTGTAAGTGATTAAGTTCATTTTCATCGCCTATTGCGTATAATCTACACAAGTATCCTTTTTTTTCGGGCACAAGCATAATAAAAACATCTGAATCTCAGAAACTCAGGCTTCAAACTACCTCAGTATCATCAATCCTGAACCAATTGCCTTGTCGGTGTAGATCCTTCACGTAGGATATGTAATGCCCAGAAAATGATGCATTTAAGGTATCCAAGTGCACAACAACAGCATAAAGCATGTAAAGTGGAGGACTGTCATCTGTCCCAGTCATAAATGGTATCATATCCAGCATATCCGGAAAAGCGATGCACTTATTTATCTTCCCATAACTTCCTTCCTGATAATTATAGAAGAGAGGTTAAACAACAGCTGAGAATATAACATTTAAAATGGCAAAATATAGACTGTAGGACTTTTAAGTGCCCAGAACTTAAGGAAAGTTACATCATGACTGAAACTTTTTTTTGCCTTAATGAGACATAAACAGTAGTTCCGATGGTACTAGAAACCGGGCTTTTTGAATTAGAGGTATATAGGTAAAAGATTTGTTGGACATTTAGGACGGTGTCGCCATTGTCTTCCAATACTCTCAGATAACCAGCAAAAATCATAGAGGAAGTAACTAGTAGTGGAAACAGAGAACTACACTACTTCTTGGTTTAAAAGAAATGGAGCAACCTTCCTGATAAAAACAAATGCCTAATAAGTGACATCTGTAAAAAGCAGTACCTGAAATCTCTTCAAGACAATAGTCAAGATATTTGGAGCCTCCTGTATGCTCAACTGTTTTTGTGCACGAACATAACAACCGCACCTTTTAAGGAAATATGAGCAGAAAAGTCTTTTCAGTTTCAAGAAGTAAGATGCCTGTCCAATGGGTAAGCAATCTACATGTGGGATTTAGTAAAGCAAGTTCACATACCTTCCGCATCTATACATGTTTTCCCCATCAAGATCTTCGGGACTTGTAAACTGTGTCAATGCATCTTCAAGTGACTCAACCCAACCAAAGATCTCCAATGAGAGATCCATGATATTTTCATAGCACTCCGACTCGTGGTGGCATCTCAAACATTTGACCTGGCATCATAAGACATAAAGCTACTAGGTAAAATTACAAAAGAAAGCATAAAGTTCTTTCAATTTTCCAATTTGAAATAAGTCAACGAGACTAGAAATCTTAGACCTTAGATCTAAGTCGCCCTCCAAAAGTTTGTTGTATAAAGGTCGTTTCCTGCAATCTTGGATCGACAGCATTTTCTCCACCCAATGCCTCCAAGCATATAGATTGCATAGAAGCAACAAGAAGCCTGCACACATATAGAACAACTACTGAGACACAAAGAGGTAAAAAAGAAAAAATCAAGCTTCCACTAAAGTCATTAGAAAAAAAACACTTCATTATTACGTTTCCAAGAATTACAAAACAACATTTCTGCATAGGTATTTGTTTTCATCATTAAGATTGGACAAGAGAGACAAAAATGTAATTTCATACAGACCTTAAAAACTCATGAGCATCTTCCTGACTGCCATTGCCAATCTGACCATTAATGCTCCGCATATGCAAAAGAATCCTGCTTGGCGATAGAGGACCTCCACTTTCTCTTAACATCATCACATGTTGCTCAAGTTCACACATAAGGCACCAATCTCTCCTGCAGTCTGATGTACATGTAATAGATGAATTTTGCAATTCATTTAAAAAAGAAACAGAACGGAAGTAAAGGAGGTAAAAAGGGTGAAATTACAAGTTCTAGAGTGTGATCTGCGAAGTAGGTAGATTGTTAAAGGTTTTGTGAAGGTCAGACACTGCAAGACAGCATTGGCATAACAACTGCAAAATGAATGAACAACTGATGTAATTGACTTGCTAATGTTCAGGCAAAATTACCAATTGGACTAATTTCTGTTTAGGATGTATTCAATTTTTAAATAAACAACAAAATAAATTAGCATAAGGGTAAAGATGTCTGAAACATTACCTATTCCCGCAATTTATGATACCTCTAGGCAACAAAGTGAAGTCTTCATATTCAAATAACTTCACAAATTCTTCATAAGGAAACAGCATCTGTTCATTAGACGATTATTAATGGCTCATGTCAAAGCCCAAAACAAACCAATGACATCATGAATCAAGTGCAACTTAGATTTCTCAAGAACACCCAGCTAATCAGGCTTTATTGATAATCTATTAAAAGAGTTTCTCCGAACCTAGGTGATTCTCAATAAAAAAATTTAATTGTTAAAATTAGTCTATTGGATGAAAACTGACCTTTTGTTTCTTGTGTTTGTCAGCCCTGGATTCTACAGATTGATGTCTATCAACTTTTGATGATTTAACCAGACCAAACATTCTCATAATGCCCATGTTTGCAACCCCACTGCCTGCTTGTGGAGGGACAGCATCCTTTCTTCTAGCATTTTCTGCATTGTGAGGACTCAGTAAAATAAAAGAGCAACATGCAGCTATTAGCATATCATAATCGTCAAGGTAACATACTTGACTCGTCGATATTCTGGCTCTTCCCTTCCAAACCTGAACACATTTCTTCTCTTGATGTTTTTGGCGTTTTATTGGACTTTGCTCCTTGAGAATGTGATGCACTTTTAGCTCTACTGCTTCTCCGTGTTGAAGTCTTTCCAGAAGCGCAAGTCAATGGAATTGCCTGAGTGCTGGTAATGATGCCTTCTCGTATAAGACTTTCTTCATCAATCAACTCCTTCTGATTATTGCATGCACTCATTTCATGGCCTTCTAGATTCGATGAACTCGAAATGTGACGATGATTTCTTGAGATGTGTTCTCTCCGCTTTTGCAACATATGGCGTTCTCCCATTGTACTCACCAAATCAGCTTGTTCACTATTGAATCCATCCGCGATGCTATCATGTTCCAAAAACTTGGACTCACTCTCTCTTGACTGCAACAAAAGAGAACTCAGCTTAGGCAAATTAAGAAGCAAACAAAAACTTTTGCACTTTCTATTGGAAAAGAGATAACCTTCTGGTTCATAGAACGTTCTGTTGAAGAGGTAGCACATGAGGGGGAAGTAGTAACCCAAGATTGAGAGGCTAGCTCAGAACTCTCGGACATGGTTCCTTCCCCTCTTCTTAATATATCTCTGTTGCCTTTATGTAGTCTCTTGTCTACAGATCGTCTCCCAACTTTTGGAGCTACTGATGTATCCATTGCCATACTAACAGCAGTAGGGGCGAGTGATGTGATAATGGGTGTTTCGGAGACATCATCTGGAGGAGCTTTGCCAAGCCATGACTGATTAATGTTGCTGTCATTGTACTGCGCTTCAACACAGTTATCAAATGACACACATCCCGGGAATTCATCAGTCCACGCAGACTTAGAGAATGAGCTGTTGCAGTTGTTACCCAATTGATGACACTCTAGCTTGTGAACCTGTCTCCAGTGGAGAATCTGACACTTCCCTGAGCTGCACAATTTTCATCATAAGATAAGAAAACAGTTGGCTCACAAAATCTGATGAAACAATACAAAAAAAAAAAAAACATAAGCATTAGATAAATTTTATTGTGCCAAGCCAAATGCTGCTAAGGATCAGCTTTTTTATGTCAAGAAAAATATATCACAGGTTTATGTGAACTATCATAATATTACAGCCTTATCTAATCCTTTTCTATTCACACCCAAAACTCAACCAAACGTCTTGCGACCATTTCCCCCCTTTACCTACTTGTTTCCTTACTGCTTCTTTCATTTTTGCTGAATCTCTCTTTAACGAGGGAGGAGGTTTGTGCTATTAATTCTTCCAAGATGGGTTGACTGCTCCTGACGTGGAAAATTTAGAAACAAGATAATATTATCTCTATCATAGGCGTCTTACACTCACTAGTTTAGTCGAGTCAAAGAGCTGATGTGTCTCAAGAACCTGTCCTCGTACCCAAGAGAGATTGTGTTTCCATGGAACATTCCAATACCTTAATAACAGAATACAAGAGGATGACTCAGTATCTTTAGAACTTGCAATAGATGTAGGCGTGGGCTTTTAATTTGGGGTAAGACTGCAGTCCTCCCTCTTATTTGTTTGGGACCAAAGGCACAAATGCTGAGGAAGTGGACAACGGAATGAGTTCATGAAGTAATTGAGAAAAGGATGCCCGTCAAAGAAAAGGCACTTTGGTAAGTTGGTCAGTTGACACTCATTAAGAAAACTACATCTGTAGCACCAATTTGTTACATCTCACTGTTCTAAGGTCCATCTCTACATTGATTGAATACAGTATTCAGAAGCTATGGAGTTCTAACAGGACATTTCCATCTCCCTTGTGCATTTTGTGGGTTCTCGTCTAAATGAAGGAATCATTTAAAAAATTCTTATATCTGCCATTGTGGATAAATGAAGAATAAATAACCTCATGGGTATACTATTTTCAGCTTGGGGCTGAGACCAAATATATAGCTATAAAGTTACAAGACAAGCCATTTCACCTATCCAAGACGAAAAAGAGAGAATTAAAAATAGATCGGAGAAGAGCCTGAGAGAGCTGAGATGGGCCATTTCACACTCTTAGACAAGAAAATAATCTTATTTTTGGTACGTCCTGCTTTCCACTGTTTACTAATTCTGTAGAAAACTTCACACAGTTAGAACACAAGTACACAAAGAGAACTTGGCCATACCAATATCGAACAGATTTGCATTGAGAGCACCGAGTTGTGGCTGGACTATGGCATCTTGCACACTGATGAATTACACTGCTTGGCAAAGGCACAAGAGGAGTAGGGATAATACTTACAGCAGGCACAATTTCCGACTTAAACGCTTCTTCAGCAGCCCGTTGAGCCAGCAAACCAACCCTCTCTTTCTTTTTGGCTGCCTCATTCCATTTGCCTAGAAGGATATAAGAAACCAGGGGAAGCACAACCAAGACCAAAAATAAAGCAGGAATGTCGGTTTCCCTTGGCTGAAGCATGTTCTCACCAGCAAATTCATGTCCAACTATCTTGCTAAACCTTTTGTAGCTAGCCTGATCTACCTAGCTACAAAAGCCCAAGTAAACCGGCAGCACATTTTTGCAATGTTCTTGTTAGATGATTCCAGCACCACATTATCTGTGAAATCAAGCAGGTGCTTATCATTGTAACCCAACTTGACTACGAAAAGCAAATAATCCAAATGTATAGCAACAAAAATGTAGCAACCTTGATTAACCCCATTTCCCTTTCAGGAAGAAGTATCGAACTTTCAATATTCTAGTAGCAGCAATCTTGCAAAATGATTCTTCATCTAATAAACCATGGAGAATAAAAGGGCAGCCCGGTGCACAAAGAACCCCGCGTTCATGCAGAGTCTGGGAAGGGCCGCACGCTAAGGGGTGTGATGTAGACAGCCTAACCTAATGCAAGAATTAGTGGCTGCTTCCACGGCTCGAACCCATGACCTATAGGTCACATGGAGACAACTTTACCGTTGCTCCACGGCTCCCCTTCTCGGAGAATAAATGACTACAACAAAATAAATACAACTATCCAAACATGCTTTTGCTGTAAAGCGAACTTCTCCCAGAACATTCGCAAAAATCTGTTTAAAAGCCGCCTTCTAATTTTGCTTATTTTTAATACATTCTTATATGGACCAGCTATGTGGAGGTTATTAGAGAGGTCACGCTAGAGCGTCACCTCGGGAAGCTATAAGATAATCACAATCACAGGCTATTTAAATGCATTTAGGTGTAGACAGCTTTACGCTTATCCATATCAGCTACACCTTTGAAACAAAAAATGCAGAAGTGCCCCGTGAAGAGAGGTTTATATAACCAAAAATGCCTCAACACCTTGACCTAATTTTTTCTTCCTGAGCTTGAAATTATATCGCATAAAACTCATGGTGTTTCTTCACCCTGATTGTGTATTCATCAAAACTTTAAGTTTTTCTTTTTCAGAATATACTCATGATTCAGAATCCAAGCAAAATCATGAGTTTCTTGGTGCTGATCACATATCTAAGATGCTCAAGTAGAGCAACAGGTACTCAGTTTTTAGGTATGAACGAAATCAAATAGCTCAAGTTCGTTTTACTTGTCATAACTTAAAAGATATCTGAGCTTCAGAACTAATGCAAAATCACTTAAGTTTCATGGTTGTGATCATGTAAATTTGACTATCATGACCAACTATGTTGTCTTTGGGACAGGAGGAAACATACTTAGTTTCCATTTCTCAACTTAGTATCCTAACGGGAAAACTAAAGTTCGCCATCAATATTGTGCTTGTCTCGCTAAAGCTTCTTTTGAATCAAATATTACAAATATGAGGCTTTGTTACAATCCCACTTATAAGATTATCTGACAGCCCAGTCGGGAATAATTTTCAGATTTCAAATTTTTACACATTAAATGAACTCCACATAACAATTACAAGAACAACCATGCCTCAGTCTCAAATAAGTTGGGGTCCGCTATATGAATCCTCACTGACCACGTTACTCTATTTAAGCTCATCTCATGCCAGTATTATGCAAATACAAGTAAGAAGTATTAGAAGTTCGAACTTCACAAAACAATTACACATAAACTGATAGAACATATAGCGCACTGAACAATTAAGAACTTTGCAATTTTGAAACAAAGTAAGCACTGTGAGATAAATGAAAAGGCAATTTTTTCTAGAAAAACAAAAGGCTAGCTATGTTAAACCCAAAGTTGATTAATCTTTGACCTATTAACATCATTTATCTATTAATCCATTCTCTCTTGCTACTATCCGAGCATCAAGCTAGCTTTTTCATATCAAACATCTCTCCAAAGATTTCATCCTTCTCTCCCGAACGTGCCATTCTCCTTACGTTACTCAACACAAGATATTCAAATGCAAGATGGAAGAGCCAATACACATTTCTAGCAAGTTCGAAGCATTGTTATTTTCAGCAAGTTTTTAGTTGATGAGTTTTGTTCATAACTACATTGGAAGCAAGCATAAACTAGTAAACTACAATTTCTCCCTCTTGAAAAACCTCCACAGCCCACCCCAACTTTCTCTCCCCTTTTCTCAATTTCCATTAACTTCAAAATGCATTTGTATATTTGCACTTGAATGTTCTATTTACTATTATGTTCAATTAACTTCAAGTTGATTAGGCTAGTAACATAAATTCTAGTAAGATGCACACAACCAGCTAGACAATAATAATGTGCATAATGAGGGGTCAGTAGGAGGGGGGTATGTACTTATCTTTGGATACAATATTATATCCGGGATTTTTGTCATAGCTCATGAAATAGGAATTATTTCAAACTAACCATACAAACTAGTCTTTCACTCAGACAATAAATGGCTAAATGACTCTTTTATTACAATCATTAAGACGATACACTATAAGTTCACAAATTTCAGCTACTTCCTCTATATGTCTACTAATATGTGCAAACAGCAACACCCAGAATGGAGACAAATTAGACAAGCAGAACCAAAGTAAACAACTTCTTAGCAGCTTAATTAGCTAATTTATACATAACATCCAAAAATAAGGGTAACAATCTAAATCAAGAAAGCGATTGCAAAAGATAAGTCACATTCTTTAGCAACCAATAACTCAAACTCCAAAGTTCAAACCTCAGCTCTTTCAAATTCATATTAGTACTAACATAAATGCTATGGTTAGAGAAACCCCAAAAGAGGGCATTCTGAAAATAAAATGTGCACATTTTCTCACTCCCAAAAAATCCAATCTTTCTCAACACCATGCCTTAAAAATCGAATCTTTAACTCATTTTCATTAACAAAAGTAAAACCCATATGAAAAAATGAGGATTTAGGTAAACAAACATAGGAAAACTATAAAAATCAAAGTAAGATTTGATTAGGTAACTCAAAAATACCTTTTTTTCTTTGAAGCATAAAATCTAAGGTAAAGATTTTGAAGACCAGTTTGACCAGTTGTCACTCTCTTGTTTGACCCTTGTAGTTGTAGGTGTCGGTCTTTTTCTTCTTCTTCCTCTACAAGTCTAAACCCAGCAAAAATACTTTGATTCCTTAGTTGGTAATAACATATACACAGACACACAGTAGCTCATGCTCTACATTTGCCTCGCTTCTGGCATTCTCACACTTTAAGTCTAGGGGAAAATTAATGTATAACCACTCATATCTAATTCTCGGTACGTTCGCACACGTGTCAGTCCACCAATGGCTGGGTTAGGAATTAGGTTGGACCCACGACCGATCTAGATGATCACAGCCGTTTAGAGGAAGTCAAAAATGAATGTAATCAAGAGGACAAAGAGGAACGAAAAAAGGGAACATTAACAAATGATGTTTTTTAATGTAGTTGTAGGGTTAAAAGAAAGAGTGGGGCCCAGTAGATGTGTTTGAGTTTCCAATAATGTAAAGAGGTGCCACGTGGACGGGTATGATTAGGCAATGAGATGGATGTTTGTAATATGGACTTGCGAATTTTCTTGTTATGAAGTGTTAGGCCATGTAAAAAAAGGGAAAGAAAACATACAAAGAGAATTCTGTTATGAAATATAACTCAAAGTAGCAATATGGAACAAGGAAATAAAAGCAATTTAGTAAAACATAAATAAGAAATGAGGATAGAGAGAAGGAAGAGATTTTTTTCTTTAATTGTGTGTACTTTTCTGTCTATTACAAGACTTTTATATAGGCATGAAAAGTGAAGAAAATATGTCATTGAATATGTCATTACGCATTTGACATGAAGATCATAGAGGAAAAGTAGATATCCACCATAACATGATATTTATCATAACAAATTCAACTTTTATATGCTTATAAAAAAATAGAGGAGAAAGCGAAATGAGATTAGGTTTCATTTTAGGATAGATAAAGACCAATTAAATTATAACAAAACAGGTTTAACTTTGGCCAAATACCTAATAGCCCTTAAAGTTATCAAAAATTGTCACTTAACCATTCAAACTTAGTTAATGGCCATTTTAACTAGGAGTGTTCAAAACCGAACCGAAATCGAAGCTTAATGGCTTATTGGTATCGGGTTAATGGTTTAACGGATCGGGAACAGATTGAATTTTTTTTATTAACGGCTNTATATATATATATTATTAGAACATATGTTGGTAGTCGTCAGCCCATGCTCTTTTAACGGGCAAGAGAAATCGAGTCCATTAAAACATAACACTAACACAAAACCTCTCTCTAGGGTTTTTATGGCTGCCTATAAATACATATCAAATCCTCTCTCTTCTATCTATCTCTACCTTAACATTCTCAATCTGAATTGGTGTTCCTTTCTCGTTATTTTTCTTCTTTCTTTTTAGTGTTGTGGAAGCCTAATATTGCAATTCTTTGATCGTATGCTATTGAAGAATGGATCAAGGGATCTATCATTAGACTATATGAAAACACTGCATATATATTTGTTCCTATATATATGTGTCTACCTTTAGCTCCGAATTATCCCTTCTGCTAAAGGGTTTTTCGGTGACAAGGCAGATACATTTTCACTTGTTTTAATTTCACATATTTGATTTTAATTTTTTATTTTCAAAATATCGAAACATTGGGGTATTTTTCGATTATGATGTATAAGGATGCTGAAGAAATCATTCAGATTCCCACTGATGTACATACAGTGATTGCTACAACCAGCTACTTCTGACTTCCTCATCATAATCGAATCCCTATTTTTCTTTTTATCTAATTATTTTTTTTATGGATTTTAATTGTCGAGTTTTTGATACGAAATGGTCGGTGATATTAAAAAGATATTTGCTACTCTTGATGGGGATTTACAAAAATTCCATCTGATGATTCCTTATCCACCAAGATCTCTGAGGCTTTCATTTTCCTATATTTTGTTTATATGAACTCGTTTGAAAATTCTTTTGCAATGTGTTTTTTCAGTTGTTTCAACTTTTCTTTTTTGTCAAAAAATGAATTTTATTTTTTCAAGGAAATTTGCGAACATTGAAAATTTTTTTAAAGGCTTTCTTAATTTCTTGGATATCAAAAGAAATTTATTGAATATCCTGTTGTGGTAGTCTGCAGTTGTTCTAGGTGGCTCTGAGCTTGCTCTTACTGATATTGGATGTTGTTGTGTTTATCTCTTTGATAGAATTTTAAGAATGGTTTTTGTGGTGTGTACTGTGTATGATTGGTGAAGAAACCATTTGCTTCCGTGTCATTGTAGCAATGTGTTGTCAAAATAGGCCTCTGTAATACAGATTCAATTATTCAAATAGGTCGATAAACCGCCCGTTAACCGTCCGCTAATAGCTAAGTCGATACCAATCTGCCCGATATCTTATCGGGTGGCTAGCGGATTATTATATTTAAAATCCGAAGACCAATAAGTCAAACCGTTAAACGTAAATAACCGCCCGATCTACCCGATAAGTAGCCCTAGTTTTAGTACTTCCACTTGACATAAATATGTCTCTTGAACACTTGTGTTCACGAGATCATTTGCCTGAATCTTACTCGTTGTTGACATGTCAAATAAATTAATATTTCTAAAGTTTATTTTTTAACTATTATCTAATAACTATACTCTGTCGATAAAAAAAAATTACTTGATTCATAAAACTAAATAATTTTTTATGCATCCAATATCAAAAATTCATTGCTCCAACTATTCTGAATATACATCATGTAAGGTGCACTAATGTAGGAAGACTCTCTACCAAAAACTTCTTTATTTTCAGTGTTCGACTTTGCAATATCTTTTTGAGGATAGATGGATTCTTTCTATTCTACACATTTTTTTTGTCAAACTAGAACTAGTATAATGTATATAAATGATGAAAATAAAGCCAGTAATAAGACGTACACTAGCATATTCTGCAATAATATTCTGACTTCTGACTGTGTTTTCCCAGAAATGCAGCTCAAATGCTCACAAATATTGCCATCACTGGTTTGGGGGCATCTCGCCTTTCATATTTGGAGGGGGGTTATCAGTTATGGGAGCCTGAGGAGCAGTGGGGACACGAGCATTATGTGGTTGACGACGCAGACTATATAAGGGAAGCTGTGAGAGAGGTGTTAGGGGTCTCGGCGGGCTATTCTGCCTAGCACAAAGATGACTGGTGGTGGAATAAAGTGGTCCAAGATAAAATGGAAGCGAAGAAGGCGGTGTTCCAGAAGTTAGCAGGGAGCACAGGTAAAGAGGAGAGTAAAGCGTGCAGGGAGAGGTATAAAGTAGCTAGGAAGGAGGCTAAGTTGGCGGTCACGGAGGCTAAGACTGCTGCTTTTGGTCATATATATAAGGAACTGGGGGACAAAGGGCAGGGGTGAGGGGAGAAAAAGTTATTCTGGCTAGCCAAGGCGAGAGAGAGGAAGGCTCGGGATTTGGACCAAGTGAGGTGTATCAAAGACGAGGATGGTAGAGTATTTATGGGAGAGGCCCAGATTAAGAGGAGATGGCAAACTTACTTTCATAAACTTCTGAATGAAGACGGGGATCAAGTTATTGTGCTAGGTGAATTGGAGCATTTCGAGAGTCACCGTGACTTTAGGTGTTGTAGGCACATCAAGGTTGAGGAGGTCATGGGAGCTATGCGTAAGATGAGTAGCGGTAGAGCGACCGGGACAAACGAAATTCCGGTTGAGTTTTGGAGGTGTGTGGGAAGAGAAGGCTTGGAGTGGCTGATTGAGCTATTTAATGTTATTTTTAGGACATAGAGGATGCCGGATTAGTGGAGGTGGAGTATGGTGGTTCTGTTGTACAAGAACAAAGGTGATATCCAGAGTTGTAATAACTATAGGGGTATCAAATTATTGAGTAATACCATGAAAGTTTGGGAGAGGGTGGTAGAAGCGAGGGTGAGGAGGACGATGTCTATATCTGACAACCAGTCCAAGTTTATGCCGGCTCTTTCTATACGGAAGCTATCCATCTCATTAGGAGGTTGGTGGAACATTACAACGATAGGAAGAAGGATCTGCACATGGTGTTTATTGATCTGGAGAACGCGTATGACAAGGTTCCTAGAGAGGTTCTCTAGAGATGTTTGGAGGCAAAATGTGTGTCGGTTGCCTACATTAGGGCGTGTTGATACCCAATTGTTACCTCATATTTTTAAATGGTACATATAAATACTTTCAAAATAGTATATTTGCATTATTATTTGGTTTATAAACCTATATAGGCATTTTTTATAATTTTTTATAATTTTTTATATTTTTAGAGCTTTAAATTAATTTTTTTGCAATTTAAATTACTTGAATAATTATTAATTATTGCTTCAAATTATTTTGTGATGACTTAATCATCCAAATTACTATTTTTGCATCCTCATATATGTTTCATAATATTTTTTTTCCTTATTTCATATAATTATGTTTGCATTTTTTAAGTTATTTACCTAATTTTACAATAATAGCCTGTATTCACATATAATTGCTTTTTATCTATACTATTTGTGTCAAAATAGTCTTTTATATTTTTATAATGCTAAATTATTATTATTAATTATTTTATTGCATAAATAATATTTTTATTTATTTATTAAGCATTTTTATAAATTATTTTATTGAATTTTGGGTACTTAAATAATAGCCCATTCTTAAAACCAAAATTGGACCCAAATCAACCCAATTACCCCTGGCCCACGACCAATTAACCCAACCCCAGACCCGGTCGCGACTCGTTTGACTACCTGACCCAAAACCTGTTTTAAATCATGGTTGTTGATCTTTGAGATCAATGACCCACATCACACCCTCCCTTTTAATTATACCCAAAACCCCTAACCCTAAATCATTCTCATCCATCCGCTGCCCTTGAATCCCCGCATCTCTCATCTCTCAAACCCTAGCTGTCTTCCCCCCAAATCCCTCTCATAATCCCACCTAACATGGGATTCCATGGCTGATTCTTGCCATATATGACCTCTCCCTGGTACTGGGTCCTTCCCTATACTTCTTGCCTAAACATGGCAAGCAGATGGCAAGTAGATCTTGTAAGAATCGAACTAAAATTGGTTCAAATCCTTGACTTTTCTGATTATTCTATCTATGTTCATCATTTGCTCTTTGTAAGTACGAATATTTTTTGTATGTTATAAAATAATAAAAGAAGAATAAGAGTATTGCAGAGAAAAGTAGGGAG